AAGGGACAGGGGTCTGGTTGTATGTAATGAAGGGACAACTCAACAAGGGACAGGGGTCTAGTTGTATGTAATGAAGGGACAACTCAACAATGGACAAGGTTCTGGTTGTATGTAATGAAGGAAAATCTCAGCAAGGGACAATCTATAACCTTAATCCGACTCGGGTTATAATGAGTAAAGGGTTATGACACGGGGGACATTCTGTAAGTCTATACACAGGGGACAATCTGTAAGTCTGTACACAGGGGACAATATATAAGTCTATACACGGGGGACAATATATAAGTCTATATACAGGGGACAATATATAAGTCTATGTACAGGGGACAATATATAAGTCTATATACAGAGGACAATCTGTAAGTCTATATACAGGGGACAATATAAAAGTCTATACAATATGTAAGTCTATACATAAAGGACAATATATAAGTCAATAGATGGTATGAAATATACAGCTTAAGAGGGCAATAAACAATGTTGAAGTTAGTTATCTAGAATTGACGACAGGCTAGTCAGTCTTGGTGTATATATAATATATGTTATATACAGCCCACTTTATCTCTAATAAATTACACTTTAACTTATCTACTTCTACAGTTAACAATAACTAATGGCTACTAGTTTAAACTGTTAAAATGTTTACAATGTACAAGGTTAGATAACTTGAACTGTACAGATAGATCCTAACAGCTAGTAACCTCCCTGTCAGCTACGGTGGCTCAGTGAGTAGGATGCTGGCTCACTAACTGGATTACGCACGGTGTTTGTCGAGAAGAAGTGGTGCGGGATGCTAACTCACTAACTGGATCGCGCACGGTGTTCGACGAGAAGTGATGCGGGATGCTAGCTTACTAACTGGATCGCGCACGGTGTTCGCAGAGAAAGTGGTGCAAGATAGAGTGTCTAGCAAGCAGAGTTTCTATTCGATCGGATTAGACGAAAACTTGAGTGAGGCCTGGTGTACACGTAACAGAATCCTTGACAGATGAAATTCTCAATATATAGTACATTTTATGAAGTACGGCCGTCTTCGTTAGCCCAGGCAGTGCAGAACCTACGACGTTAAACCCCATTTGATTTCATTTATAACCTCACTACAAACCCCAACTGTATGTTAATATGATTTAAATTGACCCCCTTGTACCACGTATGTCTATATATTACAGACAGTACAACATCTATCATTCACTTTCTTCAAATCATCCACACTCGGCTGTCAATCATCCCGCCATCAATTTCATTATAAAACAGATAACCTTTGTTTTACCTTCATCAGGGGTCATTTACAGGTAGTCGATGAGGCGGGTGGGGGAGGGGGGAGGTAATATAGTCAACACAATGTACAAAATATACAATATGGAATTAAATGGTACTTAATGTTCTCTTGCCCCTACCGGGATAATGTAGATTGGCACGCGCCATGCAGTAATTTTGCCCTGACAGCAGAGGGCGTCCGACTACTCTTTCTTCGTCGAATCCGAACTGACAGGGGTTCAGGGGTTCTTTTGCGTGCACGCCATCGTCGACGCTTGATCTCTTCTTTTTATACCATTCGGAGGACAAGCAGATGAATCTTGCTGGGCTTTCAATAAAATGTTTGAATCACAGACAATTCTTGTAGGATGATAACGGCAGAAACAAAACCCAAAATTTATTTTTTTCAGAATGCACATTTAAGACGCGTCGTTTTCTTTTACGTAAATGAATTTTTTGACATTTGGAATTCGCTGAAGAGTAGGTTGACCGGGCACACAGCACGACCTAAGCCCATTTTCCTTAGTCCTGCTTTTGCCAAACAGTGGGGCGTTAAACCCCATCTCTTTATTTCTCAACATCTTAGTTATCATAGATCGGCGTGGGAGTAATGTTCAGGTCGACTTAATTGTTTTGATTTCGGAATGTTAATCCGCCATTCTCCCGGTATAACGAACTATTTCACGTATCAAATCTAAACCCTATCTCGACTTATTATCAATGATAAAAAAGTCATAAAACTTCACCATATCAAAACTAAATATTTCATGTATTCTAAGAATTTAGTTTTACCCATATTCACATTATAATCATTCTTCAAATGGCAGTATATATTCAAATTAAATAATACATATTCGATATAATGTACGTAAGGCATTACCGACATGCTATGGTTACATATATATAATATAGTAATTTAAAAATTAGACAACACATCAATGCGGTTGAAAAATGTACAAATATGTGTGTATGGTAATCAAATATAATATCATAAATAAATATAATGTTTTGGTGTCTAGTTGATAGCTAAATATAACGCGGTGCTGTCTATATAATTAAATATAACGTGATGTTGCCTATATTATAATTAAATATGACGTTATGATGTATAATTAAATATAACGTCATGGTGTCTACATGTTAATTAAATATATGGTCATGATGTCTACATGATAATTAAATATATGGTCATGATGTCTATGATAATTAAATATGACGTTATGATAATTAAATTTAATATAAAGTCATGATGTCTAACTGATAATTTAATATTACGTCAAGATGTCTAAATGATAATTAAATATAACGTCATGATGTCTATGTTAATTAAATATGACGTTATGATAATTAAATCTAACGTTATGATGTCTATCTGATAATTAAATATAACGTCATGACGTCTATGTGATAATTAAAATATGACGTTTCGATAACCAGATAAAGGGTATGTATATTATCCCGTGTATTGCTACAGTGTATGTAGTCTTTGTGTTGTCTTCTTCTTTTCGGGTTTATGTCCGCTTTCACCAATGGTGATAACGCAAACAAATGTCGCCTATGAAACTTGCAGGAAAGGTCAGGAGTGAATGAGATACTTGTCTAGCATAGGGCGAAAATGGAAGAGCTAGTAGTAAATGTTTGTTGTACTTGCTGTGTACTAAATAACCCAATGATATAAACATTGATAATATCCCTATTGGATTATTTCTCACACTTGTTAATAATTTAAAATCTTGTAAACTAAAACCCTAACAATAGGATACAATCAGTCCGGGAATAAATTAAGGAATTGTTAACACCGTCGACAACGCTAATTAATTTTCATTATAATTAATTAATGTGTGTGTATACTTTGTCAAGGTAGACCTAATAAATAGTAGAACTATTTATTATTATATATTTCCTCTGTATGTTCATTGACTTTAGTATAATGATTACAGGCACTAATATTTATAAACTTTGCACCATCGAGACAGGGAAAACGGTTCGGTTTCTAGTCCCAGGGCTAGGAAATTCGCTGTTATAATACTCCTCCTTTTACGCTCACGGTCAAAAATACAATTAAGATAGGTATCTACAATTTAGTTTTGACACAAAATAAACTGTTTTAAATCTATTGTATTGCAGGGAGAAGAGAACTTTACAAATTTGAGTAAATTGTATTTTGAAGAATAGATCAGGTTACAAATATGAGTAATTTGTATTTTGGGCGAGAGAAGTTACAACTATGCAAGTCCTATGCAAGTCACTAGGGTTTCAATTTGTATATAAGCATATCACTATGACCCGTGTATTTAAGTATAAAACTGATCTAATGTTTATCAAATGATTAATTATTATTTACATATTTATGAAATTTATGTCATTATTTGTAGAAATATCAAATCAAATCAAATTTAAAAAAAAAAATATTATTAATTTCTGAAATAATTTTACAAATTAATTTGAATATTGTTGAAATCTGTCATCCTGTATGTTCTTATGTTCTTATGTTCTCCGGTATATTTTGTGGGGTTTATTTTGTAACTCATACCAATATTTTTCGATAATTTTTGACTCCCTATATATTTGGTATCATTGTTTATTTAAAGGGAAAGATAAGGCTGTCCTTTTGTTTTGTTTAGTATATTGTTTGTTTGTTTTTGTATATTACAAATAACATCCTATACATTTTACATTATATTATGGACAGGCTGATGTGAACAATATTTTATTCAAATAAGATAGATATTGTATACATACACTGTCAAAAGGTAAGGATTCAAAAACTAGCCAAAGGTTTATATTAATTCGTCTCCTTATTTAATAAAAATACTACAAATACAATTGTAATATGTACACTTCACATACAAAATACATTTAACAGTATTGTATTTTCTATATACTATTATAGACAGGTTGATTTAATTTGCATATATATGAGGGAGTGATAATAAACTGGGTACAAACATAAAAAATATTTGATATATTAAAGTTTTACTTAAAAACGTCTGTATGGCAAACCGTGTATCTATATGAAAACGTTACGCTGACCTAAAGTGTGTGTTTTGGTGTAATAAAATTTATCATCAAATCATCTTAATAGCAATTGTATTACACTTTATTTGAGTATTCTATAAAGGAAAGTATCATCATCCCCTTAACATTAAATAATAACACACCAATAGAGTTGTGATAAAATAATAATTTAACTAGATATAAGTCATAAACGCTCATATGTGACATAAACTCACATAAACTGTGTAATAATATTATAAAAATCACATAAAATTTGAAATTATGTTCTAAAAATGAGATAAATGTCATAAAAATCACATAAACTGTGTTATATTATTATGAAATCTCGGGAATTATGATAATATAAGTATTGAGATTTATTTAGAACGATGTTTAAGTTATCTACAATATGTGAGTTGAATGGGGTCGTTACGAGGCTCTAATGGCGCATACCTACGTTGTTTCAATATCGAAAATCAACAGTAAAATAGGATTTAATGTATTGTATAAACTAAGGGTTGAATATTTAAATTATTAATTCTATAATTAATAAATAGCATAAGACGAACTTTATGAGAAGTCCGTGATTTAAGTCGTCATTTTTATACGCCATTTTCTATACCCATGTGATTTTCATTTTGTGGACGGAAACTGGATTTTGTGGAAGTTCCGAACATTTAGACTGGCACAAACAGTGACATAAACGATCAGTGATGAATGAATTAATATATTAAATTATAACTTACCACCAAGATGCATGGACAATCTGTAAAATTGCCAAGACAATCACCACCTTCTCCAAAAACCTTCGCATCTTTCAGTTTTAAATCTGGATTAATCCACGAAAAAAACACACAAATAAAATCCACAAGAATTCAAAGCCACGAAAGTCTTGAAATACTAGAAATCACAAGTCTGGGAATAACGTCGCCGTCGCGATTAGCATCGCGTTCATTTAAACCGCTGTCTCTAATCCAAAAATGTTGTTCGTTATGATTGCTAATTTGACTCGCAAAAATCACAAAGAGTTCTGTTGTGTTGTTTTTTTTTTCTTTCGGTAATTGGTTCAAAAATGTTCACAGTTGTTATGAAACAGATGTAAATACTCCACTATTCTGTTCGTTTTAAATCATCAACAATTAATCAACCAGTATTACTGTGATTTATATATTCTCACGGAGAACAAACGATAAACTAAAACTTCAATAAGTCTAACTTGATGGCGATATTATGGAGAGCTTTTTGTCCGGTGTAAAAGTTGATTTCGTCGACGTGTTTTGTTTCTGTCAGATAAAAACCCAATCTGAAAAGACAAGATACGATAATAAATTATTGAGAAAATACTTTGACTGACATACGAGAAAAAAATCTGTCGAGTGGTTTCACCTGTCAACATAGAGAAATAAAAACCGCTCATAAATTTCTTCGGCGTCAAATCGTTGCGTTAAGACGGTGCGAGGAGAGTGATCCGCAAATTGATACTACGTTGTTCTTCACGCTGACTACCACCAGTCAAATCCACCAATAGTTACAAGTCTGGCTGCCCCGTGTGTCATTGACTATCGGAGGCTTTACAAGCATCACGTTCTAGTGTTAGATCGGCTTCTTGTCTCGTCGTGGATATATCTATATGTAATAATACAAACTCCCCTTCTTAGCCTAAAGCTATTCACGCTGGTTAATCGAATACACACCACAAAATCCCTTTTATAGCCTACAGCCATTCACTTGATGACCAAGACTTTAAAAATAAAAACCCCTTTCTTCAAGATTCTCTGACAACACGGGTACAAGTGAATTTCAAACTATAATTTATATCAACGTCTTCCCCCTTTCTCTTTCTAGAAAATCTGCCTCGGGGGTAACCAGTTCCCGAAAACTCAAATTACAAGATTTTTGGCTTACATCTCTGCCTCTCCTTGAACCAGCTACCTGTAAAGAATTGCATTAAAGAAGCCATTTTCACCTGAGTAAAACCTGGTCTCACCTTTCTTGATGCGATTAAAAGAAATGTTTGAACAACGATTTAAAACACTTGCCTACTTTCTCTTCAATGTTTCTTCAATAAAACCATAAATATAAAACTTCTTGTTGATACAACTCAACAATGACATTTAGGGTCCGCGATTTTCACCTATCTGAGTTTTAGGGACCACCGAATGGATAAATCTCGTATGTTATTTTAAGAAAGACAATAGGGGGCTCAACTTCGCCTTTTTATAGTTAAAGTTAGTGTATACCATTTTACAATCCCTGAGACAATAGTTTTATTGTTTTCTTGATTTGGGAGTTATTTTAGCCACTATCATTTATATGGCCTGACGTTCAATTATTGTCCTTTTTTAAAGGGTTTTAATTTAATCCGGTGTCGGATATTAACCCACAGGGAGGCCGCTCATTAAACAATCGCCGCTACTTAACACCTCCAATTAGCCTAATCCCACCAATAAAAAAATTCTTTAAAGATAATAAAAATGGCGATTTAGGAGATGGTTCTTGTCGTATGTCATCGACCCAGGGGTTCGGTTTCTAGACTTGACGAGTTTGTAAAAATATAAACGAAGTAGCATTGTTATCCATTTGACATAGTGTCACGGTGATTACTAGATTTGATATTAATTGTTTGTTTCTTGCAAATGTCTGTAGTTCGTCTGGTGGTCCGCGGGTTTGTCTTATCGATTTTGTTTGGCGTGTAGTGAATTTCTCCCGCACTTACTACTAGAAATATATAAATATGTTGTCTGAGGTATTACCCTATGGTCTCTTTCTTTTAAAAAAAAAATCTCCGGGTCCTCCGGTTTCCTCCTACTGCTAAAGACCGCTACGCGACAGCGAATTAATAGAATAAAGTTGAACATATACGTTAGTCTCTATCTCTCTCCCTCAATAACAGAACATTACATTTCTCATCGGATTTATACTTACAAATATAAACTAGAATGTCTACGATATTAGCCATATGGGAGCGGGCGTTATTGTCCTTTTCAAAGTAAATTAAGAAAATGAAATAACAGAACATAGTATTTCTAACCGAATTGTTTGGTTTCCTCACACATAAGAATTATAACAACACATGCTGGAATTTTCGAGAATAAATATGCAAAAATTTATCAAATTCTCCGAAGACTTCTAGGAATAGTAAAGAAAAAAGGGGTCGGCAGACGAGGATCTGTTGATAAGACACAGGCAGCAGTTTCCAGCCCCCAAGAGAATGTAATCGCGAAGGTAATTCTTCAACCTCTGTACGAGAAAGACAGGACATGTAAAAAGTTCTGACATCCATTTTCCTTATTTGTTTCTGAGTAAAAAAAATAACTGGCCTAATGAAGACGGGCATGCGTCATGCAGCGTGCTATGGGGAATTTCGCCCGGACAGAGACGCCACGGTCTACTCTTATACCAAATTGCAACTGTCAAGGGTTATTTCACGCGCACGTCAATGTGTATATGAGACCTCGGGTTTTGCTCCCATTCGTTCGAATAGGGGGGGGGGGGCATGCAGGATATCCCCAGGAACTTTCTCAGCCAACACCGGGAGCGAACCCGAGACCTCCTGGTTAGCGAACCAGCGTTTTACTCACTGAGCCACCAAGACTCGCTTGTTGTTAGATGTCAGCAGTTATAATTGGAGGTATGTTATCAATCGGTACTGACATTGTTACGTGTCTGGTGAGATAAAACTCGACAGACTGCCATAGTTAAAGATTGCAATGATGCAAGCTTAGATCCCATTCTTCAGTATACTATTAGTAACTCCAGTCTCTGGTGGGCTTCTAACAATGTTCTAGAGGATGTGAAGATGGGGGGTCAGGTGGCACTTTACATTATAGTATAAATTATTAAATTGTAGGGGGGGGGGAGTACCGGTATTTTAAATTATTATAAAAACATAATGTTTATAAATAGATGATTATTTACATGAAGTTTTGTTTTTTACAATATGGTGCGCAATTGTTCGATAGGATTCAAATTTTTGGTTAAAAATTATGACTTGATTGCACTAAAGAAACACCAGATGCCAAATGATCCGCATTTTTATATCTTATTTATCTATCTACCAATTTATTTTTTATTTATCCATTTTTTTTTTTAGATTATTGTTTTTTACAGCTCAGATAAAGTCGAAGCTTTAGACAGAGCACGTGCAATACAGATACAGGGATTGGCAACCTGGTTTCTGCCTTGTTAATATCAGTTTCAAATTTCTGCGTTTTTACTAAAAGCGTCGAATAATATCTGTAGTAAATTTCGATTCCTCCTTCTCAGTGATGCAGCGTAGAGAGGACTTTGCGTCTAGCAGAGCGAAACGTCACGACAAACGTAGGTCCCGTGCACATAAAATAACTCTTGGCAGTTTGAATTTCTGTTGCGAATTTCCTTTAACCCTGTGTGATGTAAGGTTGGTAGCTGTTTTATAGCGGCAATACTGACACGATTAGACGACATATTACATTCTTTATCCCACCGTGGCTGCATGTTGATCGCGCATGTGCTTTGTATCAACTGATAATTCACGCGAGATCTCAGCCTATTATAACCATTATCAAACTAATTTGTACAGTTTTAAATTTTCCAGAATCTCAAACCCCCCTCCTCTAGGAAATAACTCAGCGTATTTTATCTGCGAGTAAGAAATGTGTTAGCTAGTAAATAAGACGAAAAAGATTAGCTTCTGTAAATATTTATAAATAATAATGTTATATTTCAGCGTTTACTTGTAATATATATGACACCCCCTTTCACCCCCACCCCCTCCAAAAATAATTCAAATTTTAAAATAATAAATATGTACGCAAATAAAAAATGTGTGTTAAATGTCTAACACTGGTGAACGGAAATTGTTGAAACACTAAAAAATGAATTGGAGTTTTATGGCACATCAGCTCCAACCGGGCAAATACTAAAAAAATGAAAATTGGGATCGAAATTTGCTATTGAAAAAAAGAGAAGAAAAAGGTCAAAACTTCATAATAACTATTCGCTGAGAAAAAAAATAATTCAAATTCAATTTTATAAGAATTCGCCAGGGGAAAAACAAAAACAGTAGTATTAGTATTACCCATTCATTTAACGTCTGCTTCCATATAAGTGATATCGCATTCAATAAAACTCCGGTAAATAATTCCTTGATTAAATAATATCGGTGATAGAACAACAACAGTTAAATAATTCCTTGATTAAATAATATCGATGATAGAATACATGTCATTAATTTACAAACCAAATAAATACGGCTTAAGCAGGTCTCCTTGTTATATACCACACTGATTACAATCTAGAAGTGTGCAAATAAACGCTATATATTCTAGACAGACCTAGCAAGGCGATGCACTCACCCCTCGGGACAATACCTGTGACAGTTTTGAGTGACAGGCGACTTAACCCTTGGTCATCCAGTCAGCAATATTAGGTAATTAATAGCATAACGAATCGAGAAGTCGCCGTCAACCAGTCTCGTGAGTACATGTATTGACAGCTATGGATTAAGTGAGTGTTGGGAGTCCTGAAGCCACGAAGGTTGAAACGGATTAGTATTTTGCCCTTTAACTATACGTGTAAAATGTGAAGTGATGGCAGTTTTTGTGTTGGGGATATGCGTCTCATACAAGCTAGTATCAAGTGGTAGTGTTAAATCCCCGTAAACATGACACTATCTATGAAAATAAATGACTCAAGTCGCACAGAATTAACGCGACACGCATTATGCGATATAATCACCTATCCTTCAGCCTCTCTCGTCCGTAAATTCGACGTATTGTTGTTGGTTAATATGATCAAATTAACTCAACAATAAGAATGTAGTTCTAGGGAAACGATTGTTAACCATGACAACAACAACAACAACATGTCGTTAATATGAACTAAAAACAGATTTAAATTGATGACACTGACCACCCTGTATTTCATTACGTCTTGAATATCTTTCTGACTGATATGTTGATTAAAATATAACTATAACATATCGTAACTCTATGTTTACAATTGTACATGACAAGGAGTAGGGTCGCCTGTCCAACCTCGTGGGTTTTCTCCGCGTCCTCCGGTTTCCTCCCACTGCTAAAGACCCCTACGCGCAAGCGAATTAATGAAATAAAATGGAATGATATGTTAGTCCTAAAATGACCTATTTTATGTCGAGTGGACGTTAAACCACATCTCTCTCTCTCTCTCTCCCTCTCTCTCTCTGACAAGTCCCAAGGAACTAACTGGTTAGCGAGCCAGTGCTTTACTCACAACTGTGGCCCCCTAATACTTTTACATACACACTAACACTATTTATAGAATAACAATCAATGGTTTATTAACATGCAACGTTTATCATTTACTTGATAAAGATGAGAGTATCATCGTCGAAACGTTGCATGTTAATAAACCAGTAATTGTTATTCCATAAAATAGTGTTAGTGTGTTACTGTTCAATTACCTAAATGACACTTAAAGAAGTACTTTTACATAAAGTTGTATTAGAATACTTAAAAATGTTCAAGCTTCTTCCTACGATTAAATTGCTATCTAACCTTACGGGTATTTTTTTTTATTATTCCTATGTTTGAATCGATTAAATTACTTTCTAACCTTA